GGTTTACTACTGCTTGAACTGAAAGTAAACATTGAGCAATTCAGTTCTCTGCAGTTTTGGATCAGCACCAGTGCAGCCACACCAGTTTCTGAATGGGAACTGTTCCCTAGTCTTGCAGTATTTTACCACATAACATGCATCTACCCTTTAGTAATGTGCCCCTTTGCCTACAACCCTGTACTCCCCCCAGATATAGAGCCTGTGCTAGTGTTCTGAATTCTGATTTTAAAATACTGTCATAATCTAATGATTGATGACTCATTTTTGTGTTAGTGTTACAAGAGTTCTCTGTGAAATGTGGCCACACTTACCCTACAGCTCACTTCTACAACTGACTTACCATTCTCAAGTCCTGTTTTACATGATAATCACTGCTATTCAGATTGACTTGGCTAAAAGGACTGCATAGTGGTCTTGTTACTGGATATGTTGTAGTAATGAATTTGATTACTTGTTGCTCAGGATAACTTGGTTTTATCTAATCTAAAACCCGGCTGAGAAGAATATTTATTTTACTGAAACCCGTGAAGCCACATTTCTATGAACATAAAATCCTGTTCCATCCCACCTGCATGATCAGAGTATGGAAGGTACCATTTATAGGAAAGTTTGATGATGCATCTTGTAGAAAAGCAATTTTCTGAACTTTATTGTCAGTTATTAAGGAATTTAGACAAACTATCTCCAATTCGTGTAAGCCAAAAGTTCTTGGGACGAAATTTGAAAACTTTAAGGTAGAAATTAGGGCTCCCAAAACCATATTTTGGTGCTTGTAAAGGCCTAACTTTCAAAGCTACAGCTTTCGCTGACTTCAGTGAGGCTTCAGGGTGATTAATTCCTTTGAATATTAAGTCACTTACTGAATGTTAAGGAACTCAGTTTGTAAAGGGTTGGCCCTATTCGTTCCTTTTTTACAAATGTGTGTTTTTATTTTTTAATGTTTGAGGATACCTCTCTTTCCAGGCCACTCTCGGAACTACCCTGAAAAATAAAATTTGATTAATGAGGGCAGTAGGTGACAATGAGGGGACAACATTTGCCTTTGCCTCCTGTAGCACAGGTTTAAATCCTGACTTCTCTCTCACATAAAACTGACTCTCTGCATTTCATCATCCACAACTTAACATCATGTCATGTGACTGGTATTTTCTGCTGGTGAAGGGCAAGATGCTGGAATAAATTACGTCTCTTCCAAGTTTAACCTATAGGGAGTTTGCTCCCACTCAAATGTATTTTTAATGTATTGACTCAAATGAGTCAGATGTAACCTACAGAAGTTATCATGGGTATTGCAGAGGGCCTGTGTTGCGCCTCTCCTGTTAACATTGGTGGCTGTCAGCGAGCTAAGTCTACATATTGAAATTGAATGCCTAAACATGTGGCAATCTTTCTTACTAAAGGTGGGATTCAAGCATACTTTTCTTTCCTTTTGCTGCACGCTACCACCCCAACAGAGTTTAAAAATCAAACATCTGTGTTCTGTTCACATTCTTCCTTGTTGGCTGTAATGTGTAATGCTTTTGGCCAAAGTACTGTAGAAGAGAAGATCACCAAATATTCTGAGTTAAGATGTATAAGAAGTAGATATAGTTACAACTTCAGATTCTGTTTTTAAAAACTTGAAATTGCTATTAACAGCATAACCATTCACATGCAACTTAATTTTTTAGAAGAAATGTAAATTTCTTCCTAAAACTGATAAAGTTGTTAAACAGTTCCGGTATTGTAGTCATTCCCAAGAGGAGAGAATATCACTGTAACTCCTTATAAAAAAAAACCCAACATCCTTTCTTTCTGCAAGCATTCTTTTTGCCCCTTCCCCTGTACCTGATTAACGTCTTTCTGTATGCTTCTGGCACCAAGATGATGTTTCAGTGTGAAATTCTAGTCATAAGCAAGGGACCAAGCAGGTCAATTGCTTTCACTTTGTTTAAAAAAAAGAAAAAAAAAACTATATGGAAGCAGGACTGTGTGGCAGTTTTCAATGTATTATGAAAGAAAAAATATTCCTCGGATGTTTTGCTCAGCAATTCCTTGAATGTTCTAAAGGGGTTGCCTAAAATGCCACTTCCTAATTTTTTGATGACTTGCTGAATGCTATCGAATCTCAGGTCCTTGGGTCAGTTTTTCTTTTTGGAGTGAAACAGCTCACTTGTTTTCACTTAAAACAGAATGAAAGGAACTCCACAACCCATTTCTAGTAAGATGCTGTTTTACTTTGTCTCAATGTTGCATTCTCTCCCCCTCACTGAAGATTAGAGCATAGCTGTTTCCTGAGAAGCAGGGAACATGCCTGATCCCAGTATGCTGTGCTTGAAATATACAGCATAGCATAGCATAGAGAGAGAGTTTCAGAAACTAATGTTAGGGAAAGTTCCTACAAGAATGAGACAACCCATTCACCCCTATGGGTGTGTCCTAGAGTTGCCAGCTCTGTTTGAATCTGTTCCAGGAGGTTTCATCACATGGCATACTGACGTTAATTACAGTGCAGAGACTTTGTCAGGAAGGCAAATGCACATTGCTGTTACATTTTTAAAAACCCACTGGACTACTGTATACATCAGATTCAACATTGAATATAATTTATCTCCTGGGTGACTCTCGGCAGTCTCCTGGAGATTTAATCCAGG